TACTTTAACTCAGAACCTGCAGCAAACTGAGGGGAATATACAAGTATACATAAAAGAAGTTTTAGTCATTACACTGCAAGAAATATCCCCTCTACAATGTTCTTACCAAACACCTGATGTTTTTTTGGCCGCGGCTCATAGAATGGCTCCGAGTTTATCAAGTACAAACGTTTAGCTCATAGCTCATATATCCAATTACAGTTTTGGACTCAGGAGGTCAAACCCTTTCGATCGATGTATTTGACCACACCAAAGGTATTATAGATTAATTTTCTCTAATCCTGCCTAAAAGAGTTTCAATTTGAGGATAGGCTAGTAGAGATCCTGATGGGTAATATAATCGAGTCTGGTATACGGGCGATCCATGCTTGGTACACAAAAATATAGCTAATTAAAAGGACAAAAAAATTTACTCAAATCCTGCCTAAACTAATTTCTAGTACCGTGGCTGTTGAGGATTCCTTCTTGATTAAACTTCAAACGAGTTTCACATCACGTTTAAAAGAAACTTAAAAACAAAATATTTATATAAAAAACATTTTCACCAAGACACCGTTTTGTGTGACTCTGGTGGTTCAGCGGAAAGTTTCTGGACGCTAGAATTTGGGTTTCGATACCTGTGGTAGGCACAGCATAGACAGCCATCTATGTAGCTTTGTGCTTAAAAGCATAAGGAACCGTTCTAGCATGTTTTGTCTAAAATGTATACTTGATTTAACATTATATGATTACACTTTTTATTTTACTCAATGACAACTTTTAAAAACCTTGTCATTTTCTTTTTTTCTTTTCTTTTTTTTTATAATCGACTTTATATCACTTATATGATCTAAATACAATGGCCTAACATAAGCGGGATTGTTTACTACGTGCTGTAAAACAACATATGTGACGTATAAAGTTGCTTGAGGTAGTACATGACTTTATTTCATGTCTCAACTGAACATTCGGTATAGGTTTCAGTTTCTTTCAGTAGTTTTGCTTATCATGCACGAATCTCGGTAACGAAGCTCCAAAGTGCGAAGGATAAAAAAAAAAACCGTAAAAGAGCGTGTTATCTTGCTGGACTGTTCAAAACAAAATGTTACTTCCTGTTCTGGACTGATCGTGTTCCCTTGGCAACACCCAGGTTTCAGAAGTGTTAGATTCCAGGGCGTGGCGAAGCTCCAAAGTGCAAATAATTAAAGAAACGTAAAAGAGCGTGTTATCTTGTTGGACTTTTCAAAATGTTGCTTCCTGTTCTGGGCTGATCGTGTCCTCTCGGCAACACCCAGGTTTCAGAAGTGTTAGATTCCAAAGCATTTTTACTGGGCGTGATTATGTCAGAAGCTTGAAGAACATGATGGCTAGGCTGATGTTGACGAACAGAACCATAATCACCAACTGTTGTTTCGAGAACCACTCCTAAGGAAAGATTAAAAGTACATAATCCAGTTAGTAAAATCTTGTCCACAAATGACACAGAGTATACGTTAAAATCATCTCTATACAAAAGATAAATTCAGTAGAAAGACAATGCAAAAAAAAAACAAAAAACTATTGCCATCCTCAATAGCTCATTGGTAAGTCTCAAATTTATGATTCTATAAATTGGGTTTCTATACTCGTGGTGGGCAGAGCACAGATAGCCCCCTGCCTGGTCAATCCCACTATTCGTTGGTAAAAGAGTAGCCCAAGAGTTGACAGTGAATGGTGATGTCTAGCTGACATCCCTCTAGTACGTCACTGCTAAATTAGGGACGGCTAGGGCAGATAGCCCATGAGAAGCTTTGCGCGAAATTCAAAACCGTATCAGCCCTTTGTGGCTTTGCGCTTAACAACAACCAAACCAAAAATTTATTGGTCTAGCTCTTCCTAGTAGAATGTTACAGAATTAAGGTTTGTGATTTTTTGTCTTGATTATTTTCTCAACAACGAGATGCTGTATTATTATACTTTAGTTTGTTTGACGTCAACCACATTATGTTATCAACATTAACCCTAAACTTACGGTTAGGATCCGTATGGGTCCTTTGGTTTGTTTGACGTTAACCCTAAATTTATGGTTAGGATCCGTATGGGTCCTTTGGTCTGTTTGACGTTAACCCTAAATTTATGGTTAGGATCCGTATGGGTCCTTTGGTTTGTTTGACGTTAACCATAAATTTATGGTTAGGATCCGTATGGGTCCAGTGGTTTGTTTGACGTTAACCCTAAACTTATGGTTAGGATCCGTATGGGTCCAGTGGTTTGTTTGACGTTAACCCTAAACTTACGGTTAGTATCCGTATGGGTCCTTTGGTCTGTTTGACGTTAACCCTAAATTTATGGTTAGGATCCGTATGGGTCCAGTGGTTTGTTTGTAATTGCACACAAAGCTACTCGAGAACTATCTGTGCTTACCACCTCTAATTTTCAAGTGATAGACCAGAGGTAAGGAAGCTAGTCAATACCACCCACCGCCAACTCGTGGCTAAATCAAATAGTAGGACAGGACATTATTATTTTTATTTTTTTGCAGTAAAGGAGCCCGAATAACCGAACCTTGGATCCACAGCCCGATACGTTAAACACTGGATCATGCTCAACCAAGGCCATTGCATCAAATTATTCATGAGTCCAGAATTTTGTGGGTTAGCAGGAGCTTCATGCAACTATTTTTTTTTTTTTGGAGTGGGGGGCACAGTCATAACACACAGTACTTTTGTTATCAATGTTGGTTTAATAACAATAATCAGTGTGTGCCTTTTCCTATTATAAAATTTTCGCTGTTACTTTGATTAGCTTATTGGTTTCTAATACAAACAATTATCTTAAACTTTAATCAAATGTTTATACATGGACTTGGGATTATTAAAATAATGTGTGGAAAGCAACTTAGGGGAAGTGACTAGTTCACTCGTGACCTATGGGCACGACGCCCCTGGTTGGAGAGTTCGTTACACAAGAACTCTAAACAAAGAGACAGTTGATGTTAGAAATTTATTACACTAATTACAACTAAGATTTCCCATGTATTTTACACAAAAATGATCAATTTCGCCATCTGAATTTTTGTCACCAGGTGTGTTATGCTATTAGCGCCATCTTGTGACATTTTATAGCTGCATGTAAAGTTTTTTTTTTTTGTTTTTAGAACCATAAAGATGATACTGGTTGCCCACGGAAAAAGTCTTTTTATCAACCGAATTCTACTTGTTCGTTACGTTTATCACACAAAAATAATATTCATTTTAATATCTTATACAAATATTTTAGAAAAATTATCTTTTTGCGGTTGTATTTAGCACATTTCTTCCGCTGATTATGAGGTAGAAAAAAATATTTTTATTTTTGGTAGCGCGCTATCCTTTAGTGTTTAAACATACATACATTCATAGTTATTTAACTTTTAAATTATATGCCTTTCCCTATATTTTATTGTTTACAGAACCATTGTTCTAGATAGTACCTTTATGAACAAGACATTTAAAACCGTTATCCATCAAATGAAGGAAACCAGACTTTAAGACAACAGGACTTTGGCACAAAAAACAAAATACAACAAGCAGTGTTGGTTCTGGAAATAATGCTGTACGACCCCTGGTGTCATATTACGTAAACATGTAAAATAATTATAATTATCTTTCCGAAATTTTATAAAACAAGAACTTTAGTTTTAAATATATCAAGAAGTTTGTCAATTTACAAACACGTTGCATTTTCTCCTGAAATACTATTATTCATCTACGCATTTCTATTCAAATGTACACATTACTGTACGCCTGCTTTGAAGCTTCAACGGCATATGAATTAATATAATATAATGAAGCGCCATCTATTAACCAATTAGATAATTAAGGTAATCTAGGAGACTGGTCAAAATCTTCAGCTTCAAATGCGTTACATTATTGATATTCTGGGGTACTAATATTACGGTTTAGGTCTCTGTTGGGCATAGTGATTAGGGCGCTCAACTCCAATCTGCGAGTTCCAATCCCGTCACCGAACATGCTCACCCTTTCAGGCGTGGAGTATTGTAATGGGACAGTTAATCCCACGTTTCCTTGGTAAAGAGTAGCTCAAGTTGGCGGTGGATGGTGTGGACTAGTTGCCTTCCCTCTATTCTATCGGTTAATAATTAGGAAAGGCTCAAGGGCTCGATGGCTTTGCGCTAAATTAAAAAAACACACAGATCTTTGTTTGTGTAATTATCTTGAAGTTTTGCTGTTAGTAAATATATTGTTTTTTTTAGACACTAATTGTAGTAAGTTGTTTACGTTTGATGACTATGTATTTTCATGAAATAAATATTTGTACGCTAATAAAGAGCCCGTAATATTTAAAATACTTTGATAGATGTTGTTTCATATAATGGTATTCATAGTTAGATGGAGTGTAATCTTTAGGAAGTTTATAACAATAGCCGCGCCACCTATTGTTAAATAGTGTAACTTTCCAATATATATTGTTAAAAACACGTCAAATTAGGGAAGAAACTCAGCAATTGATTTAACGGTGAGATAGAAGATAGTGTCAAGGAACATGATTAGATTGTTTGTTAGTTAAGGAACCTGACCTTGACTAACAAACAATCTAATCATGTTCCTTGACTAACAAACAATCTAAAACATGATTAGATTGTTTGTTATCAAGGAACATGATTAGATCATGTTCCTTGACTAACAAACAAACTAACAAACAATCTAATCATGTTCCTTGACTAACAAACAATCTAACAAGGAACATGATTAGATTGTTTGTTAGTTAAGGAACATGATTAGATTGTTTGTTAGTCAAGGAACATGACTAGATTGTTTGTTAGTCAAGGAACATGATTAGATTGTTTGTTAGTTAAGGAACATGATTAGATTGTTTTTACTCTAAGAACACGAGTAGATTCAATATGATGTCATCAAAGACTGTTGATACTTTAATTCAACAAGATATGTTTAATAATCTTGTAATTTCTGTGTATATTATGCTACAGTTCCTTTCAAACATTCTTTTTTTAAATTTTAACACGTGTTAAAATGATTCTATGTTATTATGGGTTTTTTTTATCAGACACATTACAGACTATCTGAAATAAAACATACTGCACTTTTTCGATCCCAACCCGTTTACAAAGTGCAGTGTTCTGACACATATTAAACACATGCGCACAGAGACTGAATTCACCAGTGCTGTATCAAGTGAAAAGATACGCAGATGTCTGCTCAATAGACATAAAATCGGTCACCCAGTTCATGACAAGATTATGTGTATGACGTGTAGAAGTACCCATGGCAACCAGACAGCTAAACTGGGAAAGGGGGTTATCGCAGTTTGGCACTAGGCCTAACAGAGCCTTCTTTGGTCTATTTTGGCCAAGGTATGTATGGTGGATCGCACTGCCCTAGATAGGCCTCGTCTCACTAATAGAGGTCTCCACAGTTAACATTTAATGTTGATAGTGTGAAATAATAATGGACGTTCTTATATGCACGAAACATGCAGCTAATGACGTAATTAAGTGCGAGTAGCTTAAACAGATTTCACGAGTGCAGTGTGAATGATTTATCAGATTTGTTATAAGTGACTTGATGAATATATTAAACGTTAAGAGCGACCCCTATGTTATCATAATTTTCACTGATAATTTCCAATACTTATACCTTATGAAAACCCCTATATCAGGGATTCCCAAACTTTCTCAGCACAAGGCCCATCAGGACACTCGGTATCCTGACCAGCCCCCCAAATAAATATATAGATCATGATAACTTTAATAGTCTTGTGTACTTGCTCCGACCCTCTCCAATGGCACTGTCTTTTAACCCCCAGTTCGAGAACCCCTGCCTTAGGGTGTTAACATTTTTTCATAAACACATTGCACCATTTATACGTTGTAAAAGAAGCTAATAATAAAATTTAAGTATTTTCTCCATCAATTCAAAAAGTATAAAGTAAGTTACCCTATAGACCAAGAACCACTCAAGAGATGAAGGGATAAGTTACCCTATAGACCAAGAACCACTCAAGAGATGAAGGGATAAGTTACCCTATAGACCAAGGACCATTCAAGAGATGAAGGGATAAGTTACCCTATAGCCCAAGGACTACTCAAGAGATGAAGGGATAAGTTACCCTATAGACCAAGGACCATTCAAGAGATGAAGGGATAAGTTACCCTATAGACCAAGGACCATTCAAGAGATGAAGGGATAAGTTACCCTATAGACCAAGGACCATTCAAGAGATG